CGCCGCTCGAGCCCGCGTCCAAGGGCGCCAGGGCGGTGCAGGGCGGCGACGGGCGGAAGGAGAGCAGCGGCGAGTCCTGCAGCTTCATGGAGGACACTTCCAGCTTCTCCTGCCGCCGCCACTTGGCACGGCGGTTCTGGAACCACACCTGCGGGAAGCAGCACAGGTGGCCGAAACTCAGGCGCGACCCCGGGGCCTGGCACTCCCTCGCTCTTATGACCCGCCCCCCCCACCCCCGTTTCTTTCCCACCCCTATTTCCCCTCGTTATTCCTTCTGGTCTTTCAATACCATCCCGGGCCTCCGTGTCTCCCCCACCTTGCCCCTGCTCATCTCACCCAGGGCAGTGGCTGGATCTGGCTCCAAACCCGTGGTGTCGGCGTGGGATCGGACTCGGGGACTTGGGAAACCAGTCTCTGTCCCATTTGCCCCTGCTCCTTGTGACTGCAGACCACCTCCCTGTGAGGTGCAGCACTCACGATAACCCACTCACTGAGCTGTGCCCACCCGTGGTCGTCTTGAGTTACAAACATACAAATACACTGCTCAAACAAGCAGCTTCCAGTGGGACACTACAAACATTTCCACACACTGCTGGTGATATTGATTAGATAGGAGCAGTTGAGCTTAATTTCACCTTCTAAGCCCCAAACAACCCCACAGCTGTTGGGACTCATACTGACCCTCTATAGGGTTTCTTTCAGCACTCAGCCTTTCCTTTCTCTTGAAGAGTGGCTGGTAGCGTTGAATCTTGGAACTTGGAGTTAGCAGCCCAATGTTTAACCTCTTGTGCCATCAGGCCTCCTTTCTTTATCCCAGTGCATTTGAACTGCAGCTTCAGTAAGATTTTTATCTCATTGTCATCTGTGTAGCACCTCTGATGTTTCTTTCAATGATTTTCAAAGATTCTAACAACTTAAAGACTCTACCAATCAAGCTTAAACTAAACCCACTGCCATCCAATTGAGTCCCAGAGACCCAGGTGTGGGAGACTGGAAATCTTTCTGGGAGCAGACAACCTCATCTGTCTCCCTCTGAACCACAGGTGGGTTTGCTCTACCGCCCTTGTCTGAGCAGCCCAATACCTATCTCACCCAGCCACCAGGGCTCCGTAAATTTGAAGAGTTCATTCATTACCTTGCATTACATTGTGATGTTCATATTAGTATTTGACCTAAGATATTAGCTCAGTGTTGAAGAGTCTTGTTTGTTTACATATGGAAAGTCTGCTGAGAGTAGAGTCTGGTGGCTTATGATGGACCTGCCAGCTGATTTGATAACTGTGCAGGGAAGGGGGTGGCTCCTTTGACAGCAGAGGTCACTTCCCTTTGGAAGGCAAGCACAGAGAACTGGGGAGTCAGGAAAGAAGTCTGGTCAAACTGAGGGTCAGCTGTGGGGAATGGAAACTTCCAGAAGGAGAAGGCAGTTAATACCCAGAGGAGGACAAAGCCTAGAGCAGGTGGGATTGGGAGAGAGTGGGAGGAGAGTCCAAGTAAAATGCAACTATCCCTGCCCCCTTCCTATAAAGTGTTCAGGTACATGCCCAAGGACCAGATGTTTCCCAAAGCTTAGCTATCTGCCAATAATAGAGATGAGAAGCAGTGGCCTGGGTGAGGGTTCCTGCTCTACTACGTCCTGCACCCACTCCATCCTGCCTGCATCAGCGGGGAGCCTTGGTCATAGGTCATAGGTCACAGGGCTGAAGACAAAGCATCTGCTAGGCTTCTACTCTCTTGCTGCCCTTAACACTTGGAGCCTCCTCATCCCACCACAGATGACAGCAGGTGCTTGGTGATGTCTGCCTTGCCCTCTGTTCCAACTCCTGGGGATCCCATAGGGCAGTGTAGAACCGCTCCAGCCTGTGGTCAGGGACCTAAATCTTTCTCACCAAATCTTCTGCAGAGCGGCCAGTGGGTTTCAACCAACTACGCTCCCAGGAGTAGCCCTGCGCTGAACCATCGGGCCACCAGGTCTCCTTGTTTGCATCCAGCTGTGTATTACACACCGGGCAGACACTGGCCACTGTGCGGGCCCGGTGGGCACTGAGAAACCACAGATTTGGCACTCAAGTATCTCATACTCCGTGGACAAGCCGGACCCCCAATTCCCAGTAGGTATGAGAAAGGAACCAGATGGGATGGGGGGTGGGGTGGGGTGTTGGGGCTGCAGAGGCCCTGAGGCCTACCCTCTGCCCTTCTCTGGTCTTCCTTTCCAGATTCCTCCCTTGCCGACTTCACCCTCCCTCCCCAGGAAGCAGGTGCTAGAATTTCCACCCCTCTCAAAGACATCGTGGTACTGCCCTAAATTAAGGGGAAAGGGACAGACGGTCTTTGCTAGGCTGTCCCAAATCAAATTAGGGAACAATTTCTTTAAACCCCCGACTTCCACTCATTACTTTAGCCTCCTAGACTGAGCCGAAAAGACAAAAGGCCCGAAGACCCTGTCCCCATTTCAGCCAAGCCACAAAGCCCCATACACCTAAGTCCCCTCACTTCCTGGAAATCTAATTTATTAGACATACAGAAACACCACCTCACTCCGTGGCCTTTCAGAGGAGGGGAAATTCACCCTCCTTCTCGCCCTTTCAGGCCTCTCAGTAAACGCTCCCCTTTCGAAATCCTCCCAGGTTTTTCACAGATGACTAGCAAATATTTAAGGCTTTCAAATATTTTAATGATCAGGGATTAAGGATAATTCAGCTTTAATTAAAGCGAAAACCCCTTTACAATGAAGAAGAAAGGAAGGAAGAAAAGTTCTTGGCTGCGCGAATTTCGGCAGGACGTGCCCCGCCCCCCCCCCCCCCCCCCCCCCCCCCGCCCGGCCGAGAAGCAAAAGTCAGTTTCTTAAACAAATCCACTGTAAGTTTCAACTGAGCGGCCCCAGGCCCAGTGGCCTGGAGATCCGGCCTTTGCTGTGCACCAAGCGCGCGCAGCTCGTGGAGGGAGTGATCGGAGTCCCAGGCTACCTACCCTCCAGTCCTTCCTGCCTACCGCGCCTTCCAGCCCAGCTCTCCTCCGCCTTCACCCCTGCTGCGGCCACAGAACGGCCAACCTCTTCATTCAGCAAGCCATTCCCAAGTCCTCAGCTTAGCTTAGAAGAAGGGGACCTCCCCAAAGAAAGATCAAGCTACACGTTCGTACCATGGGACGTGGTGTGGGTGGTTTGTGACAGTCCACGGGCTCTGGGTGAGCCCCGTGGAGGGAGGGCAAAGGGACGGAGGCCGCGATCAATCCTCAGACACCCGCGATTCCGGGGCGCACCGGGTGACCTCGGAGCCTCGGCCCTCCCTTTCGGGTCACCGTCCCCCAATGGGGGTCCTTTACCTGGACTCGGACCTCGGGGAGGTTGACCTTCCCGGCCAGCTCCTCGCGGCTGTACACGTCGGGGTAGTGGGACTTCTCGAAGGCCCGCTCCAGTTCGTGGAGCTGGTACGTGGTGAATGTCGTGCGGTTCCGCCGGTGCTTCTTCTTGGGCAGCTCCTCCTCCGCCAGCTTGCTGTCTCCTGCCTGGGGTCCGGCCAGCAGGCCGGGGCTCGGCAGCGCCTCTCCGGGCTCCTTGGGACAGTAGGGCCGAGCGGCTGGGGACCAAGGTCCCTTAGAGTCAGAGACGCTTCCTGGGGCGTCTGGTTGCCCACCCGCCTCCCAGAGCTAGCCAGCAGCAGCGCACTCCTGGATGGTCCCAGGGAACCGGGGCCGACGGCTGCCAGGGGCCCCCAAGCTTGTTCCAAACACAAGTTGGAAGTTCCCGCTAGAGACGGCCGGGTCTTCACCCAGGGGCCAGGACAGAAGCTGCATCCTGCGCACCGGGGGCTAAAGCTCCGGCTGGGGCTGTGCGCACCCCTCTGCCCGGGGCCGGAGTCTGGGCCCGGGAGGGTGCACTCACCTTCGTACTCTGCGCTCTGCGCTGGGGAGGCCTCTACGCTGCCTGTGGGCGCCAGGGGGTGGGCGGCCGGAGCCCCGGGCCTCCGTTCCCGCTCCTTGGCGCCCTGGCTCCCGCGCTGGGTCGGGAAGGGGTCGAGGAGGCCGTCGTCCTTGGTGAACCCCAGGATGGCCTCGATGCTGTGCAGCCGCGCGGGGTTGGCGCCCGGGCCGCGGAGCAGGTGGCCGGCGAGAGCAAAGCTGCCGTCGGCCATGGAGGGCGCGCAGCCAGGCAGGTGCATGGGGACGCGGGAGGCTTTAGGGAGAGTGAAACTACCCGTCGGCCCGGCCCCGGGCGGCCTTCTCACCCGAGGGACCCACCCCAAGGCCCCGCTCCGTGGGCGACACGGTTTGGGGCGGCACGCTGGAGCCGGGCGAGCGTTGGGCCCACGGCCGCCAGGGTCACTCTGGAATGGGCTGATCAGGCTCTGGGGGCAGGGGCTGGGGACGCCTGGGGCGGCCCGTCAGGCCCCGCCCTCTCCCAGCCCCCGCCCCTCTAAACGCCCCCTCTGCGGGCGTCTTCTTTCGCTACAGCTTAGGGCCCCAGACTTGTAGCCCCCCTTACCTCTGGCGCCAGCACCTTGAACGACCCACCGCCCACTTTCAAACCTCTAAGTTGCACTGCCACGGACATCTGCCTGGGGCCGACGGGGGCTCTTTACCTGGCCCGGACCCCGGAGGGCGTCCTGTGCCCCTCAGCCCAGCCACCGTGGGCTCCCCTCCCTCTCGGACTCACCTTCCGCCTCGGGCTCCCCTCCCCACGCTGACTTTCCTCCCCAGTGTCCTCCGCAGAGCTGCGCGCCTGGACCGGCGCCCCTGGCAGCGCGAAGACTGGGTGGCAGGCCCGCCAGCCCGCCAGCCCTCAGAGTCATTCCAATCTCCCGGGTTCGAATGTCCCGCTAGTTTTTTACCCGCTTGGAAGCCCCTCTCTCCACTCGGTGCTCTGAAGCCGGGCTCCAGCTCTCCTGGCCTGGCTGCCTCTGTCCTAGAGGCTCCTCCTTGTCTCCTGGGACTTGCGCGCGGGCAGGCGTCCTCATCCCAGCGCCCGCCCCAGAGGCAGCGAGGCCATCTGTGCCGCTGGCTCGGTGACCTCACGTGCCCGACGGCCCCGCCGGAGCCCCAGTGGGAGACGCTGTTGGCTCAGCCGGCCTCCCCACCCACCCAGGAGACTCGCCGGGAGTTGCTCCGGATGAGGAAGGGGGTGGTGTCCCTCGCTGGCCATGCAGGGTGTGTCTCCCCGACCCCTTCCAACAACCTTCCCGGCCAAGGAGGGGACCAACCTCTGGCTAATGGGGAGAGGCCCTGGCTGGGGACAGGGCCTCCCGCTTCCCTGAGGGCTGCAGAGTAATCCGTTTGCCTCTCCGTCCTCTTTGGGGGCCCCTCGAGGTTTTCGTGGCCCAAAGTGACTCATAGGAGCCGCGATGGCTTCTGGCCGGCCACTGCGCCCTGGGAGCAGAGCCCTGAACCTGCCCTCAACTCCACCCAAGACGAGGCCGAACGAGAACTAAAATGCTTTTCCTGAGACGTGGGGCAGGTGATCCTCTTCCCAAACCTCCTTCTCCGAAGGTGCTTGATTTCTGAGGTCGTTAGGCTCCGCCGGGATCTTTCTGACCCTGAGCGACACCCCTGACAGAGTAGAACTGCCGCCCGTATGGCTTCTTAGGCTGCGGAAGGAACCCACCAGAGGCGGTAGGGGGTTTGAAGCCTGGGAAATAGGCTTGCAATGATGGAGCATCGGCTCTGAGGCAGCGGGTTTGGAGTTTGGACAGTGGGTGTGGAGCCTTTCTGCAAGCAGATCTCCTTTAGGAAACCCAAGTGATTGTCCGGCTTACAGGCAGGCCAACTATTACTGCTTCCTGGGGCGGTTCTCAGGGAGAGAGATGAAGCTTTCTACTCCCTTACAGAGTGAGAGGAATCCCACAGGGGCAGGTCTAGCCCGCCCTATAGGGTCGCTCTGAATCGGAATCATAGCCAAGTGAGTGGAGGGAGTCCAGCCATGTGGGCGGTTCCAGCATCCCCACAGAAATGGAACACCAGGTGGGCGACCAGAAGTTTCACATCTAACCTGGGACCCAAGACACAGTCATAAATAAAGGGAAAACGCACTTAGGATACTCCACCTTTAAAAGGCCATTGAAAAGGACCTGTGCCGTTAATAACTAAGTTAGAGGTGAGCACAGGAGAGGTGGAGTACCTCAGTGCCCCCTGTCTTAAACCCAACACACAACATAACAAGAAAGGGAATTTGCAGAGGATGGAATCGCCGATTCATGATAGAAACTGCTTTTAATTAAAAACGAAAAACCAAACCTAAATAATGTTAGGAACATTAAAAACAAAACAAAACAGGTATAACCATATTGGAAGTTTCCAGGCCTCTAGCGGTTTGTAGCCCTAGTAAGAACTGGAATTAGGAGACAGATGGACTTCTCGACTCCCCGGAAGAGTTCCAGTCTTGGAAACCCACAGGGACAGTTCTACTCCGTCCTAGCGGGTCACCCCGAGGAGTCGGAGTTGCCCCGATGGCAGGGAGACACAAGGGTGCTGCGGTAGGAGTCGCGGGTGATCTGCTTCCACAAGATGTTTTACAACCCCGCCGAGGACACGCTGATCTCCACTGAGATTGACCCTGTGGAGCAACAGAACTGCTCCATCGGGTTTCCAAGACTGGATCTCTGGAGGGGGCCTGGACAGCCTGGTCTTTCTCCTGGATCCCTAATGATGGCAGCCAAGGTCCTCAGGGATTGCCATCCCTTCCCATTCCCCCAGTCACAGGAGCAGGACAGCTATGTCCGGGCCCATTTGGCAGAAGAGAAAACTGAGGGTTGGGGTGTTTACTGTGATGACGTGGAGGGATTGGGCTGGCTGGCTCCTTGTTCGCTGCTTTCTGGCCATAGCTATGTTATTTTAAAACCAAAAGAACTCAAACAACTCTTCTGCCCTCCGCTGTTTAATCCCTCTGCGAGGTTTAGTTCTTTACCCAGATGCCTCCCAGAGGAATGAAGTCACACCCCACAGACACTGGCCTTTGGGCACAGGCCAAACACCAGACACACCCAGGGGAGGTTCTGCCACAGCCGGGGGCCAAGTCTGCCTCCAGCCCCTCACCTGGCTTGCCCCACCTTTACATGCACTGGGTAGGCTGAGATGACTATGGGGTGGCCATTGGGATAATGAATCAGTATTTTGCTGTTTCCCGCCCAGTGAGGATACATTTTAGGTATATTTCCCCAATATTAAATTGATCTCTATTATCACCACTAGGTTGGCAATGGTTCCTTAAGCTGCTGCCCACATGCTGCTAAGGGGCTTATGGGCTTGTTTTCCAAAGTTAATTCCCTCGGGGACTGCCCAGCTTTCCCTAATAGGCCCAGGTGAGGCTAGCTTTTATTTACTGTTTATTGCCAAGTCTCGAGAGAGAAGCAGCAAAGCCTTCAACAGCCTCTGGGCGAGGGCCTGCGGAGCAGCAGAACGCAGAACCAAGTGGGACCCGGGAGGGCCGGCGGCCTTTGTGCGAGCATAAAGAGCTAGGCCGTGGCTTTGTGGGCGCGGAGGAGGGTCCTCCAAGCACTCAGCCGGGGGTCATTGTGAGGGGCTAATCTACATGTGTATTTCCCAAGAACTCCATTAGGGGAGTTGAATGGGCTAGGCCATGTCCCTAATTCTTCCCGCCTGGGAGGCATTTTTCCAACAGTTAGGCCCGCCCTTAACCAGCCCCGTTTCAGGGAACAGGAGGAGCCTGGCTTCTGAACCCCGCCTCTGTTTAATTCATTAATTCATTAGCTGGATCAAAGACAATGCCCGCCTCCTGGCCTGCACGGGCTGGCCGGCCCTAGCCGGCACTAGAGTCTGTTAAACTTGGCGTGCTTTGGAGAGACGTTTCCAGAAGAGAAGAGAGTCTCAGAGGTGGGGAGGCAGGGAAACACAGTTGGGGTTGGGAGTGGGGTGAGGGGATGTCTTGAGAACGGGAGGCGCCTGCAAAGTGGGAAAGACCCGTGGAACTGCTGGCGAAGTTAGGGGAGAGAGTTTGAGAAGAAAGGCGATAGGGTCAGGCTAGCTCGAGGAAAATGCCACCTGAAGGTGGCCAGCAGGTATTTGAAGCTGTCCTGTAACTCTTTGCAGGAGTAGAAAACCCCGTCTTTATTCCACGGAGCAGTGGGTGGTTTCAAACTGATGGCCTTTTGTTTAGCAGCCTGACATGTAACCCACTAGCCAGGGCTAGTAACCCAGGGCTCCTATAGAAGGATTCAGGAAAAGCAAAAGCAGGCACCCACACTTATCGTGGGTTATGGTCTATCATACAAAAGGCTTTCATTATCAGTGGGGTCCTTGTGTTGTTGTTTTTCCTGAATAAGGTGCCGTGGGCCAAATGTTTGGGCACCTATTAGCTTATCCATTTAGAAAATAAGTTTTCATACGGCAATAGATTCACTTGTCTCTGCCACATTTGAAAGCCACTGATATAGACTCAGGGAAGACAACTTTAATTTCAGCCAAGGCAAAACCTAAATTCATACACGGACTACCACCGCCCTCCCACAACGGTCCTCTACACACAGCCAACATATTCAACCACTAAACGCTAACATACTATATCATGATGTGGTGGTGAGGTGCTGTCCAGCTGGTTCAACTCACCGGGACTCTGCACAATAGAATGAAACCCCGCCCTGTCCCATGCCACCCTCACAATTGCTATGTGAGCCCATTGTGCAGCCACTGGGTCCATCCAACTTGTTGAAGACTGGTAGTTACATAATCTGGTGTCAAGTCGAGGATTCAGTGTGCATGGGTGGAGTCTAGCCTGTCAATCAGGATATAGCCAATGAGGCCTCTGTGTGGGCATGGCCTTCTCCTGAGGATTCTGGGAACTCCTGTATTTTCTCCTTGGAGGCGGGAGACACACTCTGCTCACTCCCTACTCTCTACTGACAAGACACATGGAGCTATGCTGATGGCAGTGAGAGTCCTGGACCTGGAGAAGCCACGTGGAGACCCCTGCTAGCACTGAGATGCTTACAACACCCCTGGATCTACAAGACTTCGCACCCACTGGCCCGTGATCTTCCTGCATTCCGTGTCATTGCATGTGTTGTGTGAGTCGGAAGGAGACTTTATAGCTTGGTATCGGATGGGCTAATATAGGACTTATGAACTTGATCTGGACTGGGCTGGACGTTTTCTCCATATTCGAATGCTCTTGTACATAAAGCTCTTTCTTATACACATATGAATGTCTATG